GCAATGTTTAATTTGTAACATAAAAGTTTTGATTTCATGTACTTTTAAGGCAAACTACAAAAAAGTCTGTTTTTATTTCAATCCATAGCAAAGATATTTTACGCTTCAGTTCAAATATATTTCAGTTTATAAATTAAATTAGTGTTTTTATTGTATTTTTTTCCAAATGCTTTGAGGACATGATCAAAATTTGGTGTCTTCTCAATTTTAAAACCTACAGCAGGTGTTGGTTTTGTGTTGGCTGCTTACATGTTATTGATTATTGTAGACTGTAAGGACAACTTTTTGCTTTAGTTTGAGCAAATCTTGTCTCACACGATTTATGTAGATGGCATGCTTATGTTATTGGAAAATCAGCAATGTCCAAAATGTTGTGAAAGATGCCAAGTGCTTTGCAAACAGATCTTTTAATGGCTGCTATAAAGGTGAAAAGCTGTTTTGGGACCAAGTCGTAAAGCTTACAGCCTTCGCTTTTTGTATTACTTTTGACACACACACGAATGTGCTCTGCTGCTTAGCCATCCATTATTCTTTGTAACTTGTTTCAGGCATTATATTTACAAATGTGCTCTTTAATGTGCATTTAAATATAACAATGTTCGGATTATGATGTTTGCATGGGTTTACTATTATATATCAGTAATCCAGGTTTGCATGTTACAGTGTTACAGTCAAGTTAATACCTAAGGTCCACATTACTTTCTCTACATCAGAAAAATGTTTGTGTTGATCCAAGGAGGTTATTAAACTCATATTCCTTGAAACTTGGAACATGAAGCTTAGAAATGTGTAGCTTTTTTACCCTTTAATATCCTGGTCGGCACCAACTTTCTCTCATCCTATAAGCAACCTTTGAAACTAACAGTGTCTTATGAAATGTTTTTAATTTTGGTTGGATGTATAGTGCAATTGATTACTAGAAATATCACAAAAATGCCACTAAAGGTATGCCTCATCAAACTATTTCACATTTGCCCTGCAGCTCACTGTTTCTTGTAAATAGTTCTCCACACATCTGATGTGGTAGTATAAGCTTTAGAGCCTTTGACATTTATGCAAGTTTTGCTACATAACTCAATAATAAAAGTTGAAATAACATTTATAGAAAGTAATGTCATGCAACAGTATGCTGGATGATAAATGCTTAGTGTGGCTCCAGCTGCTGGCAAGTTTCAGATTGATACTAGCATATCATTATTTGACCTCTTGGGGACACTCAGAGGTTGGTGATAACATACCCAGCTGGTCAGATGATTCCTAAATATGGAGGGGAAATTAAATAAGATGGGATATCACAGCTAAAGTCATATACACTATTCTGAATTCTGTATAAATCTATACCCTTGATCCCAGCATGCACACACTATACAAACTACATCCACTTTTAAAAACAACCCACATACTTTAAACATGTGACAGGACTGGATGGTTCTCGCTTCTTGATATGTTTTTCCATGCAGCAGCCTACATGGCAAAATGAGTCATTTTGGTGATATTTCACATGCAGTATTTTATTCAGTGATTGCAAATCAGTAGTGAATAATTAATTGATGGAGGCTAATGTGTGCATTTCAAATGCACTTCTCTATATGTATTTAATTATACCTCTTTTCAATAAAGCATTCTAATACAGCTTTTGATTAATGTACATATTGATTAACACAAAGAAAAAAGTTCTACTTAATTTAATTGAACTGATCCATTGCAAATAATTTTGTATTGTGTAGCTTTACATATTCTCAAAATTAAGTCTTTTTTAGAGAGAAAATGCAGTTTCTTTGTGTGCTATGTTTTGTTTTGTTTTTCCACAGAGTAATTTTAGTTGGAGTGGAGTAATTGTTTTCTGTGAATGTCGATAGGGGTCATTATCGGTGACTTGCAGAGAGCTGAACATTTAATTATCGCAAACCAAATGACTCGAGTCTCCTTTCTGACCAGTCTGTATGCAGATTTACTGCATAAGTGGCCCATATCATAGAGTCATTTGTTAATGTCCTTGACAGGGCAGATTAAGCAAACAACACATGCAAATAGGCCTCTCCTTTTGCAATTTTAAATTAATATAAGTAATAGAAATTCAGATTTATTCAAGCTTAGCATTTAATATGTTTGGGCAAAAGGATCTTTTATGGAAATTACTGATTAAGACCCAAGTTTGCATGATCATATTCCATAATTTTCTTTTAAAGGGGCAGTATTATGTATTTTCCAGACACATAGTGCCAATCAGATAACTGTGTTACCTTCAGTTGTTGTAGCTCTTTTGGCATGCCCTCCCCCCCCATGTTTGGGGGGGGGGGGGGTCAAACATACATGTTACGCATGTTTGAAATCCCAAACATGCGTAAAAGGAGCAAAGCCACATTTCAGGTGGGATGAGGGACTAACATAACATGATACATAGCTTAAAAAAAGTTGATTTCACATAATACCTCCCTTAATTATCTGATTTGGTAACTTTTTAATTTAATTCCCTGTAAATTAGTTTCACTTAATCGTGGTTATCATTTTCTGATCAAGCCATTACTTTTTTTTTTTTTTTTTTTTAATCAGGCTTATAATGGTTTGCTTAATTTTTTTCTGTTGCTTTCTGAAATCATGTCAATTAATTTCTTTTTGCTAAAAAATACAAAGTCACTGACAGCAATTTGGACATGTATTTATGAAGAAATAGTCGCTGAGAGGTAGTTAAACCAAGTTTTACTTTCTGTGTCTTATGTAACTTGCAAGTAAATAAAACAAGCACAAAGAAAATAAGTCAGAGAATTGTGGCTCCTTTTGGTTTTTCTCCAGAGCCGGCGCTGCGTGTAGGATCAGTGGGGGGCTTTTCAGAGAATGTTATGCACAAATTAAGACATTGCAATAGCCCAGCCTAAAAGTCAGAAGTTTTAGCATTTAGCCAAAGAGAGAACTCATGTGGTTTGTTTGCTCGATATTTTCTGCATTTCTGCTGTAAGGGATTCATTCCCTTCTTTAAAAATACATCAGTCTCCAGTGGCAAATTGCTGCTGTCTGATTCTCCGTACTGTCACCTTGACATTTTCATAACTCTGTTTGACATTTTCCAAATTGCACAATGTATCTCATTTTTATTCATTTAGTTGCCCTGCTGCTAGCATCAAATTAGGCATGCATAAGAGGTAAACTGCACACGCTGAACATGTAATGTTATGCCCTTAAGACATACCTTTAGTCCCACACTTCATGTTTCTACTCCACATCATCATTTAAATAACCTTAAACATGCAAATAATGGCATTAGAAACAGAATAGGTCAACGCATTTGACGAACCGTCTTCCCTATATTCAACAAAGACATTATCAAGCTGACAATTGCTCTCGCATTCTCCTGTGTTTCCAAAGGCGGTGCTTTTGACCTGTCTTGACTTTGATCCATATCCTGCTTCTTGACAGGATTTTTTTGACTCTAGACTCGCCGTTTCAGAGCTCTCTTTTACTCGTTCCTGCCGCTGCCTCACTTCCTCCCCAGTTTCTGTCTGATTCAGTTTCTGTCCTCTCTACTAACCTGTCCTCGGGGCAAGATCATCGCCCTTCATCTGTCCATCTTGTACCATCTCTCAGCCCTCTGTGGGTGTAGATGTCGCCATATCGCCTTTACCCCGTGGAGTGTCTCACAAGTCATTAAGTCAGAGAGAAAAAAATCCAGATGGAAGTGCTCCTGTGACCTGACCCAATCATTTGCTATCAGTCCTCTCTACACTATATACATGGAATGAGCTAATATATACCATCGCAGATGACGTTCACGTTTCCACAGTTGGCAGCACTGTTGCTTTGTAAAAATAAGGCCCAGGATTCAAATTCCAGCCTCTGGTCTTTCTGCGTGGAGTTTTGCAGCTTCCTCCCATAGTCCAAAATCATGATGGCTGGGTTAATTGGTCTTTCTAAATAACCCTTCGGACAAAAACAAAACAAACAAAAAATACATGCACACATATACTTGTCTCTTTGTATATGTGTGCATGTACACATTCCAGCGGTCATCCAATGACCGCTGAAATATGCATACCTGACCCCAGTCATCCTGCAAGGACAAGCCATAGACAATATAATAATTAAGTCAAGTCTCCAGTTGACATTATTTTCTGTTATGTCAACTAGTAACTTTGTTTTCCCTTTTGTATTTTGCCTTCTTCATAGAAAGTACATTCTGTCTATCTAGGATACATTTGTGAAAGGGAGCATCAGCTGAGATAAGGAAGCTGACAACTAAACATTCTCCCTCTTCTGTTAACTTTTAACTGTGATTCCTGGATAATTCAGCTTGTAGAACATTTTTATAAGGATTAAAGTCAATTGATTGTAGGATTGTTGAAATAATCATCTTCTGCACCCTGAAGGTCTCTGAGGAATTGTAGTGAAAATTTGTTTTAATAAGTCTTTTTTTTTCTTTTTCTTTTTTTTTTTTCAAAATTACAATTAGTTTCGATCATGTTTTTTTTTTTCTTGGTGTTAGATAAAGCAAAAAGCAAATAAAAAGCTTAGTTTGATATTGCACATTGTTACTGCCGCAGTAACATCTCTTTATGAGTCATTTGTTCATGGCTCTACCCCTGGTGTCAACCTGACAAACACAATCATGATCATGATGATCTTCCGTTTCCCAACCTGTGACATTGCTGCTTTTAAGGCTGCAGGTGCTGGTGTATTATTGATGTCATTGGTCATGGCAATTTTGGCTGCTGATGCCTTTCACTTGTTCCTGTTTTGGTAAAAATAATTTCAAAAGTTATGTTCTGTAGTGTCTGTGTTCAAAAGTAGAATAATAAGAATCTGAACTATGATCTGGTAAAACATTTTATGCTTTATTCATTAAATTGTAGCTTGAATCCTTTAGTAAACCATGGCTTCAGTTCTCTGAGTTTGACTTTGATCTATTTTTGCCTTGGCTGGATTTTCTGACTATGTTCCCACTGTTTTCATCTCCCCTCCCCTGGTTCTCTGTCCCTGCTCCAAACTCTCCCCTTTCCTCCCATCAGGGTGGGATGATCGCCCTTCTGTTGTCCGTCCTGTGCCTCGTCCTGATCCTGTACACCCGCAGGCGCTGGTGTAAGAGACGCCGCATCCCTCAGCCCCAAAAGAGTGCCAGCGCTGAGGCGGCTAATGAGATACACTACATCCCATCAGTGCTGATGGGAGGCCAAGCACGGGAAAGTCTAAGGAACTCCAGGGGTCAGGGGCCAAACTCTGGTGGCACCCTCAGCATCCGGGAGACACCAATTTTGGACGGGTACATGCCGAGCAGGTTCAAATATGACTAGGAGGGGCTTATTTTAGAATCTAAGGCTGATAAGAAAAGCTTCTAGAGACATGTCACTTTGGAAATCTAAAGTTAGGTCAGTTTATTGCAGCGGTAACTGAATTCAGTGTCATCTGCAGGTACGAGTACGACATTACAGACCTGCGTCACCATTTGCAACGAGAGTGCATGAACGGCGGGGAGGAATTTGCCAGTCAAGTCACCCGTACCTTGGACTCCCTTCAGGGCTGCAATGACAAGAATAATATGGACCTCACACCGGGTTAGTAGACTGCAGAAACAACCAGAGCAGAAAAGACAGAACAGATGGGATAAGCATGGGAAAAAGTTTTAGTTCTTCTGAAACATCTTGTAACACAAATCAGATGTAGAACAAACATCTTGATGCTCTTCAAAGTGTTTCCCTGTAATTTTTTGAAATATTCAAACCTTTTTTGTATTAGGAATGTGACGATATCTCGTCTTTTCCAAAAATTTGACTTTTTTTGTACAACTTTATCATAAAAGGTTGGCTGAAAAAAAAGCACAATTTTACTCTAGCAGATGGTCAGACACTAAGCCAGCAAATCTGAAACTGAAGACAAAAACAAAAAAAAGAGAACCATGCTGTATTTTGTTCGCTATGACATGCATGGCTATTTCTAATAAAACTCCCCAAAGTATATTGTCCTGTACTATCAGGACAATAAGACTTTTATTAAGCCTTTAAACGTTGTCTTCCACAGTCTTTGTGTTGGCATTGATGGTCCTGATTGCTTTTTTTCTGCAATTTTCACAAGTGATACTTGCAGTAACAGACACAAACACACACATTAAATTAGTCCTTGACTGAGTTCCACTTAGCTCTGAAGAGTGCTTTAGTTTTGTTTATTTATCCTGGTTTTATTGTTTAGATTTTTTAGAGCAGCAAATAATTTATATGGTACAACAAAGTAGCATTTTCTTCTTTAAAAATAAATAAATATTTTAAGAGTATTTTTTACCCAACTAAGACCTAGGGCTCAGCGATATGACCTCAAAATCATTTCGCTGTATATTTTCTCAATAGTTGGTGTAAATTGTGATATCTAAAATTAGGTTCTCTATATTATTGTTTGACCCCATACTGAAGTGATGAACCATGACTCAGACTGTAAACCCATTTTCAGAGAAGCGGGATAAAAACAAGCCTTACAGCTGTCCTCTCCACATGACACAATAGTAGAAGTGACTTTTAACCACTCCAACTCCAAAACAACGCTTATGCGTGTGAAACGGTAGATTAGCCTGGCGACTGTGATCTGAAAGACCAACCGAAAACCAATGGTTTAGGGACAAATCCCCATCCCTGTGACCAATAAACCAACCACAAAGTGTGACTGCCAACAACTAATCAGGGCACAAAATATTCAACTACTAAGCAGAAAAAACCCCAACAACTAGGCAGAATGAACATGGTTTCTGAGGTATCAAATTGACATTTAGTGAACAATGCTTACAATAGAGATCTTTATGCCTTCTATTTTTTTTCTTCAAAAAGCTAGGCAATAACTGCTCAACCATAGTTATGCTTCATTTGATGCCTTGACGTCTCTTGTCTGCTTCAGACATGCAGTGTTCAATATTCTCCTTGTAACTTTTAGTCGTTTTTGTGAGGCTATTAGCTCAACTGTAGCTTCCCAGAGAAAGCTTGATAGCAACAAACTGACCCAGTTGTTTAAACTCTATTCCTCCTAAATTGAGAACATTTTACCCCCTTCACAAATTAGTCCTTTGTGAAATAATATAGCTTTCTGAACCCCTCAACACATTGTCATTCCTGCTGGGGATTTTAATTTGTTTTGTTGGCACTAGGATGCTGCCTCCAACTGCAAGTTCAGTTTTCTTCATGAATGAGTGAGTCCACTAACATGGCATAATTTTTAGCTCTGAAAATTCCAACCCCATGTGTTTTATTTATTTATTTATTTATTCTTTTTTTTTTTTTTTTTTTAAGGGATACAGTGCAGGCAAGGTTTTTTTCTGTGTATGCACACAGACAAGAACAGTTCCATTTAACAGAAATAGAGCTGCGGTTCTATATTGTTATTACAGTATTAATGCCCAAAGATAAAAAAAGTCTTTCTCATGCAAATGTGTATTTGTTGGATCATTACTAACACAAGAATAAACAAATTTGATGCCGCAAACATTCGCTTTAATTAGGGCAACTAATTAAAGTGAATGTTTAATCGGAATAACTATCTTGCACTTTTAATAAGAATTAATTTGATCAGATTTCTTCTTTAACAAAAAGGTTTATTTTGTTTCATAGGTCAACAGTAATTGGTTAAACGTCAGTTTTGCAAACGTGTGCAGTTTCTATCTTCATCATTTGGCTTTGAGTCGTGAAAACGCCTGTTTTGTTTTCCTCAAAAACAATCCTTTTAAATTGGAAATATTCAAGAGACCTCTTTGCAATCCATTTCAGAGCGTTTATTGTTCCTCCATCAGCCCGACTCCGGTAAGCCGTTCCATGGCAGGTATATGCTGTGAATTGAAATAAGCTTCAAATTTACTGGCTGGACTCATTAAGTGATCAGTTATGGTGAAAGTGCTCACACACACTGTTCCTCTAAGATCCAAATAGTCCAACCCTGCAGCTAATGGAAGCAAAGTAATCCTTTGCATTATGCATTTCAGATGGGTAACGCGTGAAACTGGAGAAACAGACAGTACCAGCCACTGGCTAAGTGCAGAGTGTTGATAGATATGAAAACTGTAGAGGTCACTGAGAAAATGACATTTGAATTCCTATTGAATAAACAAACGCATAGACCTATCTGGAAAATGGCCATGACCTTTGGCATTCGAATGGTTATCATTTTATGCCTTCATGAACAAGTAAACAAAAATGATGTGAATATATTTGGCGGTGTTTGTCACCAGCAATTATTCTTCATTATTTTTTTGTCTAAAGCTTATTGTTACGCAGCTGGAGGCAGTATTTTTATCCGTTTCATTTTTCATCATAAGCACAAAAACATTTGCATCTCCTTTGTTAACATATATAGATCTTGTGTATCATAAATAACTTTTAATGAAGAATTATTGAGTGTGTGAGCAAAGGATTCTCTTAGCTAGAATGAAACAATCAGTTAAACACGCAATTATTGCTATGTAATTCTATAAAATCACCGTCTTAGTGTTTTTGCTGAAGCCTTTATCAGAATATTTACAGAAATGTATAATTTCCTCCTCCGAGTCTTACATATGCTTCAACAGTTTTTTTTAATTAGTTTTAATTTCATGCCAGCTTTTCTCACACTTCAATTTAGACTCGTTGACTTTTCACCCAGTGAACAGCCGGATGCTTTTTTCGTAGCATTGATGTTTTTTTTTTTTCTCTCCCTAAAACTGGCATTGAAAAATGTCAAAACCACAATTTTGAAGTGTTTGTAGTTACCTTCCACTTGTTTGCAGTGAATGACAACACCAAGTTGGCCCTGATGAACAAATACAAGGACAACATCATTGCCACGAGCCCATTAGACAGCAATCACCAGCAAAACACCCTGCTACCACACAACACATCTACTAGCCAACGAAAACGTCTCTCCAGCAACACCAGAGGTGAGTCACGGCTGCGTTTTCTGTAAACCAGACCAGAAAAAACTTTACAGACTGATGATGTCAGGTAAAAATCTGAACAAATAGAAGTTCTGTGTGTCGTTTTGAAAGGAGTACATGTTCTAATAAAGGTTACAGATTCATAAAAAAAACCAACTGTAGTAGTCAAACTAGGGTTGGGAAAAGTTTTACTGAAAACTTAATTGATTTGTTTTCTGACAAATTACACCTCATGTAACTTTCTTTCTAAAACTTCTCTTGTTGGTGCAGTTTATGCTGTCTACAATCTTTCTGATATATTTTAACCTTTCATAAATAAGGAATTGCTGAAAGCAGGTGATTGGTCAAGACTGTAAATCACAAACATAAAAAAATCAGTTAAACTTGTTTGTTCTTTTGTCGAGTGACAGCACATTTTTTGTTTAACTTAAAATGTAAAGTGGTAAAGTTCGCATGGGTGCTGTCATGGACTTTTTTGTAATCAAAACAATTTATTTACCATATACATATCGTTACCTTAATATGGACTAAATTGCATAAATCAAAACAAGACAACGTAGCTCTGGGATTTGGTACAGTGGCAAAGACATTAAGCATGTAGTAGAAAATACTGACTCAAAATAAACATGGGGTAATAATTCTGACCTTCATTGTGATGTTCAAATTTAACTATAGATTTCCAGCTTAACTAGACCAAAATTCAATATAGATTAAAAATGGCAGGCATAAGTTTTTAATCAATTCATTTCAATTTTTTAACACAATAATTTATTTTTCTTTTATTTTTTGCATTCGTCAGGACATTACTGTCCAAATCTGTCCAACAGATTTTTAAACTGTCACTTTTTTTCAAGAAACAAACAAATGATACATTCATTCAAATGGCTTTCTATGTCCTGTAGTAGAAATTGAACATGGCTTTTTCTATAAAATGTGATACCAGTAGTTGTTTTTATATTATAAAGCCTACAAAATGAGAAAGAGTTCATTCACTTATTGGGTCCTCTTATAATGACTGAAGGCGAGTGATAATAGCCATTAAATATCAGTTTCTAGCCTAAAATGTTCATGTCAAATTCTGAATTCATACTTATTTCTTGAGTTGTTCAGTAATTTCTACATCATTTCAAGCAGTTTCAGTAGGTACCCCATATTTCACACGTTATTCAAGGTGGGTTATCAAGGATCACAGTTGGTGGTTGTATACAATATTTATGCCCAAATGGATTGAAATGTTATGACTTTATAATACTCAAAAGAGTTAATTAGTAATAACCTTGAGATTATTTTGAAAAAAATTTTGAAATTATAGCATATGATGATTTTGATTGTGACAGTCAAGCCATTAAAGTGATGATTGTTCTCAAAACATTGAAGTGCTGAGGAAATCTTGCATGAATGAAGCGTGAATGTGCCATTTACTTTTTTATTGTAATTTTATTGCCAGTTGTGTTGTACTTGAATTGTTTTCCATCATTATTACTTTGTTGTAACATTCCATCCCTACTCATGCTCACTTCATGCTTTCCAGGCCAATACTTTGTAACCACAGTACAAAGTATTAACACAAACTAAAGACAACGGTTACATTTGAGGGATAAGTGACGACTTCAAGTCATAGATTTTTAGGTAGCTTAACCTTTACTCGTCGTTCTAGTGACTTTCTCGTAGCCCAAATAAATCTAAAGCTTATTTATAAGCAAATGAAAAAGGTCAAGGCATCTTTAGATGGAGTTATTGAAACTGCTGTAATTGTAAGGCAGCAGTTTGTTGCTCCATTCTATTTATTTCACTAGCACTTCAAATAATGTTTTATGCATCACAACAACAACATGACCATTGGGACTTTTTGGGTTTAGAAACCTTGATTTTTATTTTTTTATTTTTTTATTTTTTTGTAATTTATTTATTTGCGTCCAGGCACAGAGCAAAGCCAGATTCAGAAGAGACAATTTTCACATTTCAGGTAATGGTTCTCAATCAATAGTAAATGGTGAGAGCAAAGAGTGAATGCTTGAAAAATACAAAACAGAAAACCACAGTGGGCGCTGCTCGCTCCTCCAAATGGCCTTGTTGAAAAATTAAGCCTGCAATGCCCAGAAATCTTCCAGTGTGGTTGGAATTAACTGTAAACAACACTTGTGTTTGCTTTGCCAGTCTGTACAACTTGGTACTAAAAAGAGAAACAAATTCTCAGAGACGGGGTTTAAGCTGGCATTTGTGACGTATTGAACAAAGAAACATTAAGGTCCAGGCAATTTCTCAACAAAGTGTTGCCAGCAGATGAGTCTTTTTCTGAACACAACCAAGAAATAAAATATCTTCACATCTTTCTTAAGAAATAAGCCACCCTTAATTCCTTAATATTTCATGACTTTTTGAAAATATGTCTGGTTAAGTTGGTGCCTCTTGACAATATTGGATTTATAGACTTTGAACCTCCTTCTTGCTGGTGCCATGCCTTTTTTAATTACTCTCAATGTCCACCTCTGACTAAGAAATGTGTTCCAAGCAAAAGCTGAGGCCCAAGATGTAATGTGCAACAAGTCACTACACTGTATTTATAAAAATGTTAAATTGTAGATCTAATTTTTAAGTGTACAGAAGTTGGCATGAAAATATGGGCTTCTAATCAGTCTGAACAATGCACACGTGCTGGTAGAAAAATCTGGATAATGCTAGCATGAGAAAGCCACAAACTTAACAAGCTAGCTTGCTGGGAGATCGCTCGACTTAAGGTGCTCTGCAAAAATATTCATGTCCCTACAAATGTGTCAAACTGTGTCAACTTAAAAGCAAAAAACATGCACTGCAGCATATTTTATCAACACAAAGTTGTTGATAATGTGAAGTGGAAAATGGCCCCTTTTACTCTGATACATCTACAAAAAAGAAAAGAAAACCCAGTTGCCTTCAGAAGTTGGCTTGGATCTGACTGTAAGGATGCTTTTCTTTAGCTGTGGGTAAATGCATTGCAAGAAAACCTATTAGAGGCTGCAGAGAGCTTGAAGCTACGATGGAGGTTCGCTTTACAGCAGGACACGACCCTAAGCACACAGCCAGAGATACAATGTAGGGGGTTAAATCAAAAAGGAATTTTAAAAACTGATGTTTATTGTCTTCCACCCCTCTTAGAAGGACTGAGTTACCTTGAGCTACTTTGTAAGAAAAAAAAGCAGACAAACATTTAGTCATTGGGTGTGCGACGCTTCAAGACTTGCTGCTGTATGTGCAGAAAAAAAGGTTGTTTACAAGGACGCAGAGTCTTTGCATGCCACACTATTCCAACTTGTATTTGAACGGTATTTTGAAAACAATGTATTCTTATCTCGACATTTCAGTTATTTGCTGTTCTGTGTTGGTCTACCACATAAAATACCAGCAAAATACATTTAATTGTGTGATTTTTGTGTCCAAGGACTTTGGATACTTTTGCAAGAGAATGTGAAAAAGCTGCCTCACTTTTCTCAATACACAATTTATTATGCATTTTATGTATATTGATATGGTGACTCCTCAATATTTATCAGTTAACTATTGTCTAGGACACGTTTTCTTTGCATGTCATCAAACATAGCTTATTGTTAACATGTATTTGACTTCAACACTTTTAAAGTTCAGCAGAATATGCTTATTCAGCACAAAATTAGTTACCAATAACTAACTAAGATCATGATTACATGTGTTTTTTTCAGCAACAAATTTGTAAACGCACAGTCAAATCAAATATGTGTAATTAAACTTATTAAACCTTATTCAGCGAAGACGAATCAGAAAACAATATTTATTCATGTTATGAAAAGTTAAGATACATTCTCACCACAATCCACATAATCTTGAAAATGATGTTTTTGCAGCCAACCTCCTACTTTAAAAAACATCCCAGAGATTCTTTGTATGTTTTTTGTAACACATTTGTTACTGTTTTTTTCTTTAGCTGTATCTGAGAGAGCTTCAAGAAGCCCGTTATCTGTGCTGGTGGCTTTGAACTATTCAGTTGTCTGACAAAAAAGCTCTATCTGCAAATAAAAGAAACATTTGTTTTTGATTCATTCAGTTACATTTAGCAAATTTTCACGTTGTGATAGAAGTATGCACAAATAGAATGCAATGAAGTGGGGAAAAAAACCCTGTTTTCATTACTTATAATTGCTGTATCAGCGATACAGTATCGTCTTAGTGTTTGAAAGTTCGAGGTTTTGCCATCTATGGTGCTTGGCATGCACACGCAAACACACCGACACACACACACACATACACCCTTTCAGAAATTTCAGTGCTTCCAGATGCAAATTAGATGTCTCCAAAGCCAGCTGCACAGGAATGAGGTTGTCTAAGCAGGAAATTAGATCTGCTTCACGCAGTTTTGAGTTTCTGTTGCCGGGGTTTCCACTCGACAGTTTTCATCTTTCTTATAAAATATGCACACAGATGTATTGTCGTTCTCAGTGGGCATTTTCTGTTTGTGTGATAGGTGTGTTAAGCACTAAAGCTTTTTCGTTTTGTCTTGGATGCTCCGGCGCTCGTCTTTGCTCCATATGCCAACACTTTTAATGGACTCGAGAGTCGCTTCTCAAAATCTCAAGTACCTAAGCTGTCAAATGGGAGAACATGAGTAGGTGATGGAGTAGGCGAGAGAAGTGTGCCCGGGCTGCGAGTCCCTCTTTAGTATTTCATAATTATAAATAAATGCAAGGTATGTGAAATATAGAGGTTTCATATGCAGTAATTTAGCTTGATCCGTGTCTTGACACGAAGATGAAAATGGAGTAGCTTATTCTTTTCTTCTGAGTATAATATTTTTGCAACATTATTGTATATATTGTCACTCAAAAACATGAAAATCTAAATAATTTAATGTTTATCCATGTCATCATTTTTATATACATTTAATTAATGCAATGTGTAAAATAAAATCTTTTAGATTGAATTCTGTGAATTATAGTATGAGCAGAGATAGATGAGAGTACTTTTAGGTGAAACCACTTTGTTAAAAATAATCATAGTAATAATAAAGATCATTTGTAATTGGAACGTAGTTTTATTAAAGCCGCTAGAATAGCAATTTAAATGCAGTGAACTGTTTTGTTTCTACACCAAACAAGATTTTTTTTATGTCTGCATGTTATTGTCTTATATTCAAGACATTTCCACACTTCAGTAATCTCCCCATTTGCCTTGTAGTTATAGTTTTCTCTAAGTTCAATAGATTCATCCTAATGTTTTTGTTTCCTCCATTTAAAAAAAAATGCAGCTTTCATTCTTATTGCAGGGTTTGACAATAAATTGAAAAAAATGCAGAGGATGCCGTTTCCTTCCAGCAAAAACAGCATCTGAACTGAAAGTGTGCTATGATGAATGCCTGTTTATTAAATCGGTCGAGAGAAATGCTGCTGAGTGTCACCACAAAAGGCTTTCCTCTTGTGAAGTGAAGCTATGCTAACATCTGTGCTGGTAGATAGTCATGGCTGCCAATAATATTTATGCAGCACATTCATATCTTCAGAGCATATTGTTCTAAAAGCAACAACTTGAAAAGCTGATGAAGCTGCTGTCATAAAAAAGCTGTTCAAAGTTTACCACTCTGACATTACTGCCAACTATTTCCTCCCCCAATTGTTTTGCAGACTTTCTGTTCGTCTAATCAAAAGCTGTGTCTTGGTCAGGATTTTTAAGCTGGTGTCATACAGAAACAGAATTATTTTATTTGCAAATCACTTAAGTCCCACCGAGGCACTAACATGTATGGAGCTTTATTGGATTTCCTTCTTAACGTTGTGCAATCCAAAAGCACTTGTAAACAACTTTGGGTACGTGCCCTGTAAATATAGCCAATGCTTCAATTAAAACACACTCAGTAACGCATTATTAACATTATCAGTGCAGTGTATACTCCAAATATAAAGCTGCCTAGTTCAATATATGCATAAATATCTTCATGTTGAGTGTCATGCAGCGTTAAGTGACACATGGCTTTTCACCATTCATTGCTGATGAATATATTTAGCTCAATTGCTTGATAGCTAGTTATCCAAATCTAAGCTTTTAAGTCTTAAGTGCAACATGATAAAGATTGGTGGATGAGGGATGGACAGTACTAGAGTCTCTACATGTTGCTAATCTTCCTTTTAGCTTTTTTATTTTTTTTACATCCAACATATTTGCAGTAGTAAACTTTGACAAATGTATTCATTCATTTTCCAGCAGAATAAGTATTTCATTTTGAGTAGATAGGAATTATTTTCGCTGAAATTGAGCGCTGGGAATTATGACCATCATTAATCATATGGCATACAATAAATAAAATAATAATAATAATAATAATAATAATAATAATAATTGAAGCATAATGTTGCAAATTTTTAATCTATTACTTTACTTTTACTCAACACAATCTAACTCAAAAAATAGATAAGTTCTCTAGATCTCATTTTCGCCCCATTTCAGCCCCAACTTTCTTGATTTAAGCTTTTTTCTTCCGTCTACTCCAAGTCTAAATAAAAACATTGAACATTTACATTAGCAGACAAGATTTTAAGCTTCAGTTTAACAATCTTAATTCTCTGTAGCAAGTGGTAGAATTGGAAACGAAATCAAAGTATCTTTGAGATTTAAGTTTTAGGTAAGTGTAGAGCATGACAAGTACTTGTTCTTATTCACATGTAGACAACATAAGACTCAGAGTTACTCGTATTACTTATAATTATGTTTTAAGTTTTTTCAATTAAAGCTGAAGTAGGTAACTTTTATTTAAAAAAAGTGTTTTACATATTTGATGTATAACACAAATATGTATTTAACTGTCACCGTTATGACAGTAAAATATGGAGCAGGTGATCTGTGGAGAAAAAAAAATAATCAAGCTCGTCTGGCTGCTCCTAGTGTTCCTACTGTCATTTGCAGAAATACACTGATCTGCCAGGAGGAATGCCTCAGCATTGCCATTCATGCTTGTGTATGCAGAAAGGTTATTTATAAATTTTTTAAACCAGTGTGTGTCAGTATCTCTGTACACCCCAGTTTCTACAGGTGTTTAACCTTCTCTTTCAAGCTTTTCCTTGTATATCTTTAGGATCCTAATGTCCATAAACAAGACATTGTTTGGTTATATTATATTTGTCTTTAGTAAAAGTCACAGCTTTATGAAAAAATGATTGATCAGACACCAAAATTACTACTGCAGTGCGAGAACCATCTGCCTTTAATTATGATCCTTTATCTAACTTTTCATGCGATAACCGTAAATGCCATTAAACTGAAATTATTGTTGGCTCAGTATGAAGCTCCACTCCATCACTTTTTTTCTTTTAACAACTCCCAGAGCTGCACATTATTCCAACACAAAAACACATTTTTTACTTTTGACTGCCATCCCTTCCGTTTCAGTCACTGAAAGGGTATCTTGCGGACCGAGCCCCTACCAGTCGTCTTTTTTTCTTTTTCCTTTTCATTGGAGGTGTATTTTTGTTTGAATCCAACAGCGGGTTCAACTTTCTTGAACCCAGACGGGGACTCTGGGACGGAGGCAGACAGCGAGCCTCAGCTGGCCTTTTACACTGACCCAAACCGCAGTCGGCGCCGGAGTCGAGGTATGAGAAATGGTAACGCCAACAGCGCGTGGGGCTCTGGGGGTAAGGAGGACTCATACACCTACAGACAATCTATCCCACTGACGGTATTGCCACCGCCACGACGCATGACAAGTAAACTCTGTACATGTAGCCAGTGGATGGTTCTAAATTGGTGTTTACACATAAATTCGACTCGTACAGGGATTGTGTATACGTACACGGTAATGTGTAGAGTGCTTGTGAGCATGTAAAATTGATCTCACTGCATCTGCATTCAATCTTGTTGATGCAAATCAAACAAGATCATGAGATCAGAGGTTCCCATTGGGGGGGAAAAATGTAATATTTGTTGCATCTTGCAATATGAAGAGCACTCTATTTTGAAATAATATTACGGACAAATATTATTTCTAAGGAGGATCCTGTGCAAACGCTGTCGACGTGAAGTGGTGGAGCACGCTTTATCTGTCAGCATGCCTTGTCCTTGCAGCTTTGATGTACAGTAATAGGTTGTGGAAGGGAGATGGAGGAAGAAAAAAACAAAACAAAACAATCGCCTCAAAATAATAGCTGCTGTCAAAAGGCGTTACAAGCCTTTACAAAGCCTCCAAGCCAATTATCCTCCCGTCATGTGCACAGGTGTCACGTACACTGTGAAGCCTCCGGAAGTGTAGCCAACATCTTTAATTAGAACAAGGTGGTAGCAATGATGCCCCAACTGCGTTGTTTACATCCAGAGGAAAGACTGATTTGTGAGGCATGATGAAATTATTTTCCGTCATTTCCTGCTCACATATACAATATGAAACATTTTCCGAAAATAGCTAAATTTATATGGGGACTGATTTTCAGTTTTTATTTTTTATTTTTCCTAACATTTTGAAAACTGAAGAATGAACTTTGGGCACAATGCCAGAAGATAAAAGGAAGAAAAAAAAAAAAAAGGTTCAGCAAAGTGAGATGATCCCTGCGTCCCATTTCCGGATAAGTTACTTGATTACATCAACTGGTTAGGAGCAAAATACAAAAGGTCACCGTTCCATTTGGCCTTTGTAAAGCCTAGCCTCGGGTAGCATCTGAAAGAACAAGCTTTGCCAAAGTAATTTAAAAGTGACAATTTAATCTTGAATTTTTGGCGTTAGTGTAAAAGTAACTGCTTTGGACAAAGTTTGAGTACCTTTATTCAAGGTCATTATGTGGTTTTTGTTGTGTGTGTGTGTGTGTGCGTGTGTGTGTGTGTGCGTGCGTGTGGATGAATGCATACCTCCTGTGGGTATGCGGTCACGTTTACCACTTTTCTGTGTTGCACTCTGGAGTAAAGGAGATAAGGGAAGCATTTCACTCTGACAAAAAAGGGGAGCACAGGAAACAGGGTCGGTTGCAAAGCAACCTCTAAGCAGTTTTTTTTTTTTTTTTCATATTATTTTGGTGTGTTTCTATTTTCCTCACACATCCCAGCATGGATGTTAAAAACCCTTCAAAGGTAAACCTTAGGTCTATACCACCGAGCCATGCCCAGTCTAAAGCTCCCAAAGGCGTGATGCTGTTTTTTGATCCAAAGGTCCCTTTTATGGGAGCTAAGCCCATTTCTGTGGGGTGGGTAGAGGCCGGTTTGTGAAGTAACTCCTCATGTGAGCAGTGTGTGTATTTGTGTGTGACAGTTTACATTTATGTTTAAAGGTTGCCAGAAAAACACAAGTGACTGCTTCTCATATACGTTTCGTTTGTTGTTCCCATCTCCTTCCTTTCTCTCCATTCCATTTGTTCCCAACAGCAGGTTCCCCGCGGAGTCCTATCAATAAGACCACCCTGACTCTCATCAGTGTCATCAGCTGCGTGATCGGCCTGGTTTACTCCTCTCACCTCGCCTGCAGCCTCTCAGTCCGAGTAATCTTACATGTGCCGGAGCACCTCATCGCTGACGGTAAGGCTTTACACCAGTCCAAGATTGTCGATGCAGCCTTTCTTAACAAACTCCCAAGGAAGCTTAAAGCCCTGTGGGGCTGAGCTGGTATTTTTCTGCCGCTCTCCAGGGAGCTCAGCTCTCTGTATCTCTCAAACCAAGTGCCAGCGCTTTGTTGGGGAGCTGCTGATTTGCTTTGCTCTCAAAGACAAAGGTAAATGCCAGGTCGACCACTTTTTCTTTTGGTTCCCTATGCTGCGCCGCATGACTGATGTACTCGCAAAGCAAAACAGCGCATTTAGGCAAGAGGGCATTGACTGTCCACAGAGATCTCCTCATCACTGTTTGGTCTTTTACTTTTTTATACAGTCCCTTGGAAAAGACACCAAAAACTTCTTCACCTTTTTATACATCATAACCACAACCTCTGCCATCTTTTTCCATCAACAAATGGAAATGTATACAATTTCTTATTTGTTAGATGGCTAATACTCAGTGAGATTGAAAGGAGAGCACCTTTGAACATCAATTTTAAAGTTTTGCAACATATTCTCATAGTGATTTACGGCTAATCTTTGACTGGATCTGCACCATAAAACAAATACACTATGGTCTCAACCACTGCAGCTGCATGTTTTTGGTGGATGTCTTGCTGGAAGTTGAGCCCCCTCCATCAAGTCTCAAGTCTTGCAGGCTCTAACGGGTTTTCTGCTTGGATTTAGCTCCATCAATCTTACCATGAAATCTGACCAACTTCCTTTCCCTGTCAAAGAGAAGCATCCCCAATGCACAGCACTGCCACCAGCATGTTTCACAGTGCCGTAGGCATGTTGAGGGTGATGTGATGTACATCAGCACACATTGCCTTTTGTGACCATTATATTTTGGTCTCATATGACCAGCACGCTTTCTTGCACATTCTTGCCATATACCCTAAACATCTTGCACTTCTTGTGAACTTTATTCACCATCGGCTTACTTTTTACCACTTAGCTTGAAAATCTGAATTTGTGGAGTGTGTGACGAACAGTTGTTCTGACCACAGATTCCTCAGCCTGCACTGTGAATCTCTGCAGCTACTGCAGAGATATGCTGGACACCTTCACTTCTTCTCTGATAAATAATTTCATTGTGAAGCAGTTCGATTTGGGTGAACTGTCATGTCTTTGTGTATTTGCAGATAATAAATTGAATTGTCTTTGAGAGTTTCAAAGCTTATATGTTTTCTTTTCACCAATTTCTGCTTTAAACTTCTCAAAACACTTTTTTCTTCTAACCTCTCCAGTGATTAAATTTAGACACTTTCTGATACTAATATGTTGATTTTAAAAGGCTATCATTTTCATGTAATTGTATTTAGGGATATGAACTAGTTTTCAGGAAATAGACTAAAAAGCCTGACGATATTAAACAGAAAAGAGGTGATAGTACTTTTGCAAAGTAATCTAGATGTAAACTAAGGGCTTCAGAAAATGAAAAAGTTTCCATTTTCTGGTTCCTGTAAGCCTATTGGCATTTTTTTTAGCTGTCACAGGAGTGAGTTGCTGGTCAGGATATATTATAGACTGACTACGCTTGCTCATCTATCATCTGCAGGTTTGATTTGATTCGGTGTACTGCAGCTTTCCTTGTACACTTGCTTGCCAGCGGGTTTTATTAAAATTCTTGGAGGCATCCAAGGAGCGAACTTTGAAAAGGGAGATGAAAGATAGCGATCGTGCCCGTTGAATTACAAAACCGGGATCGATTTAGAATGTTTCTATAAATGTCTCCACAATCTCATCAGACCTGATTTCATGTCACGGTGAATCAGACAAAAATTTGGATTCAACCACTGGGGAAAGAAGCTATTAATGCCAACAGCTGTGCAAGTTTCTGCCTTCAGATCCACTGAAGAAAGCCACAGACATGTAGAGTCACTCTTCTCTCTTCATATTTCATTTCAAAGAATGATATCAAACCAGACATGTACTTCTTCATATGACTGACACAGTCATATGAAGTCAGATCTCAAAAAGGATCTGACTGTCTAGATTGGTGGCTCCTGACTGAAATCTGGTTAAATGAGTCAGTTAAAAAATAAATTAATCAAAATAGGATTGGATCCATCTCTTCTTTTAATTACCTGTTAGCTTTGTTTTTGTTTTTTTGAAGATTTTTCTTACACCTTTGAAACTTATTTGAAGCAAAGCAAAATTAGCATTTTAAAAACTGTAAAGACAATGCACTTTCTGCTACCAATATGTTGGCATTATTTTACAGTACATTTGTCTTCAGGGCGTTAAAAATATGAAGGAGGAGGAGGAGGAGGAGGAGGTGCTCAGATCAGTATAGAGCCCCCTTAAGCCTTGAGCAATAGCAGCATAACTAAGTGGATCAGCCTTAGGCTGTCTCGAGAGTTATTTAAAGTACTGTGATAACAAGGTATTATAATAGGCCATAGAAGTGACTAGCAAATTAGCATTATTATTTGTGTGTAGCAATAAGATTACAATATTTCCACCATGTTAAGAAGACAAAAGACTGCTTCCTCATAAGTAAACTGGTTAAAAACATAACTCCACATTGTATGCTGAGGTAATGCTGTAAAAGCAGTATCTATGCGTTTCCCCAGACAACCTAGGCTCTTACTTTAATGCTGACTTTTTTAAAGAATTGCCAACATTTTTTAAATCCAACATGTTTCATGCCTGGAACATGTTGAAAAGTAACAGAAAAAGCTATTTTTTTGTACTCCATTCATTTTAAATTTCTTTCATTTCCTATGTTATTTCAAGTTTATGGGACGTGCAAAGGAAATGATCATACAATATAATAGAGATTTTGAAATGTAATCACAGTGAGGAACATTCTGGTTTCTTGAAAGATTTTCAGTGATTTTTTTTTTATTTTTCTGCTTTTCAGTTGCCATCATCTTAGTCAATGTCCTCTGTAGATCATATGATATGCGATTTGGACTAAGAGAACAATTTGTACTGATATGAACACAGGTTTCTCACTCATTTATTCATGCCAGTCCACTTGGTTTTAAACAATGCATGCAACCTCACTTCTGAAAAAAAAAATTTAGCAGATAAAATTCACTTCTTATACCTTAGACTCCGTTGGAAATGAAGACAATAAATTAGCTTCCAATAATGGTTTCAAATAACTCGATATCTTTCTGTCTCTTGCTATGCATACATACATTATTTCAGAATGGTTGTTTCTTTTTCCTACTATGCTGCACAACAATTTCCCGTTGGGGATAATAAAGAAGATTGATTGATTGGCTGATTAAATGTATTTACTAACATAAAAAAAATTAAATGTGTTAATTATAACATTTGTCATCTGCTTAGCAGTGTTAGTCATTTATCGATTTTATTTCTCACTCCTATTATGAAGTCTTCCAGCCAAGGCTAAAGTCAACGCTGAGCCTCGCTCGTTTATTAAACTCTTCACATAATTCAAGTTACAATAATTGTAGTTTAGAATTTGCAGGTTATTTTACTTATTTCGGTTTTGCTTTTTGGATACACCTAGTATGTCATGAAATTTGTAAACCTGTTTGCAGTGTGCGGTGATTATTCTAGTCTTATCAGTTTTTACTATAAGCATAAATATCCACAGTTTGCGCCCTGATTATGTGTTTTTAAGCATCTGTAAAATTGTGTACTTAACTGTTCATCTGTGCTCAACAGTTACAATCAAATCTCCTTGAAAAGTGTCCAGGACAGGGTGGCATCATTTCTAGAGATTTCACAGCTTTTGTTGGCCAATTATACTGACACTAAATGTACGGCTACAGTAATCCATCAGCATTTATTAGCAAAAACAGAGGGCTGATTCACTGCTTTATTTCAAAGCAGATCTAATCACACTGACGGTCAAGTCATAAATGAGTAGTTAATGACCGTTACATCAGGAGACTTTGCGAAGGAAAGTGCTCAAAGGTATTTGGTAATGGCCCAGTTATTCAATGCAACATACATTTAAAACAAAACTGTAGGTCCATAAAAAACATTGTGGAATTAAGGCTCCTATAAAAAGATACACTTGCAATCTAATGTCTGTCTGGGTTAATGACTTTTTCCCAATAGCAAATAAAATGCGTGTGGTTTGTGATCTCATAAAACGACAATGATGGCCATAATTTGAATGTAACCAACATCAGTCTCCCGCTACAATGCGCCAGTAGCCGTAACCGCAGCGCGAAGAGAACCTGCACAGCTTGGAGGGCTGGGATTTCTTCTTAAATATGGTTTTAGATTTTGTTGTAGGTCTTTCCTGGGTGACACAATTGATGCAACAGCAAATCAATGTCAAAAATGTATTTGAACCTAAGCTTAGTTTGGGCAGCCTAACAATATAAATATATATGACTTTGGAATTGTGATCATTTTATTTCTAATGGTTGCTTTTCCAAGGGGCATGAAGAAGAAATCAATAATCTCGTCTTCATCCAGTTTTGAAGGGTGTTTTTGTTGTGTCTTTTCATTCCGTCACGATGTCCTCACTTTTCTCTAGTCTTCCAACTTATTTTCCTTCAGTGTGCTCTTTGTGTTTCACACTTGCATTCACTCCATTCTCTTCAGGTTCGAGGTTCATTCTGCTCCAGGGGAGCCAGTTGGATGCTTCGGATTGGCTGAACCCAGCCCAGATCTTGTTGTACTACCAGCAGAATGCCAGTGGACCTTGGGTCAACGAGCTGTGTGGTCGACGCCTGCTGGATCCTTGTGAACACCAGTGTGACCCAGAGACAGGTTAGTCCAGAGCACGACATCTGCGTTAGCTTTGTTCTGTACCAGAAGTGTTACCGTGGAAACCTTGAGAATGTCTTATTGCCTCGAGGCTCTTTGTAAGTACCAACACAGCCAAAATTTTGTGAACACAGTGGATATGTCGTTAAATCTGACATCAACCTGAATGTGCGGTGAGACTCTGGAGAGCATATATATCTATGTGAACAAATAATAGTTTGTTGTGTAGAAGTTTAATCACATTCTTGCTCACTCAATAGCTTTCTATACTCTTACAGCGCTCTAAAAAAGTCATGCAAGACGCAAGAATGTCGGTGTATTTTCATCCAGGTCTGTCTCTGAAGATGTTGGGTAAAAAATGTCATATTTGTTCTGCGTTTAGTACAGCTGTTCTTTTGTTAGAAACCAAAGAGAGATTTGCGTCACCTCTCAGGAGATGGAAGATATAAAATACTGAAAATGACCCAAAATCACTTTTCAAACATCTCAATAATAGCAGGTTATGAAATTAAGAAATACCACCTAAAATGCACAATGTAAGTAAGCATATTTACATACTGAACTAAACATTCTTAGGCTACAAGTGTTTGTCTTACAAGTGTCTTGTGTTTTTTTTTTTCCTCTTATTTCCTCTTATGTTTTTTCTTGATTGTTTTTTGTCCAAGAAAATATATTATTTTGCAAGGAGTGCTCCGATTGGATTAGAGCAATCTGTCTGTGATTGGCTAGTAGTGAGGTTAATTTTCATAAACTTCATTGAGCTGCAACCACAGACACAAGGACAGGAGTGAGAGCGCCGTCACCGCCCAATCTGTTCTGGGAGCACGGTCCATACCATCAGCTAATTTGCACATGTGCTAAAATACATACTTCCAGGGAGGATGTTTTTATTTCTTTTTTCTTTTTGTATGTCATTGTAATAATAAAAATAGCATTTGACTTAAAGATAATAACGGGAAGTAAAGATAAAAATGGTTTAACCACATTTTGCAAGGCTGCTTCTGGAAAAATGAAAAAAAACAAACAAAAAAAACCTTTTGAGCAAACCAGCTTGTATAAAAATGTTTTTTGAATAGCATAATTATTAATGATTTGATATGTAAGGGGTGTCCTTTTTCAATACCTTTGTCCTACGTTACCATGTATAGTGTAGAATATGACAGACATTTAAATTTTGTCAGAGGCCAGTGGTTCCCATCCTTGTTTTTATTGGAGTACCCTTTCCATATCTACATAAATGCTTGTTAATTGATTTACTTATATGGAGGAATGAGTAATTGCAAAACACTGAAATTAAAATTAGTTTTTCGAGCAGCATCAGCTTGTTAGCAGACTAGTTCATCATAACTTAACATAATTGGAAAAAGTGCAACAACCATGTTTCCTTTAGTGGCTGAGCTGTGTTAGTCTGTTGAAAAAAGAAAAAAAAAAAATCCACACTTTTTTCTCCCCAAATATGCAGCAACTTCTGAGAATTAGACTCGCACACAGAGCTGTCAGACATTTAATCTGCCTCGTTGTCCCCCTCGAGACCATTTGCGAATTCTGTGCTTTGGTTTGCAAATATTTGTTTTGGAATACAGCATTTGTTTCTTGGTTTTATTGTAAGGAGTGAACATGTCTGCAGGGATTATCATTTCATCAAAAATGTACATGTAGTTTATACTAAATCACACCACTACTTTTGTAAAGCAGTTTTACTGGAGTAACTGTAGAATTTGATACAGTTGTATACAACTTATACTTGAACACCATCCCTTAAGTAATAAATTTGAAGAACCCTGATCTACACTTTTATTTGGTGACATGAATTTGTCAATGGTGGCAGGTCTTTTCTGAAAACCATGAAGTGATGAACTTTGAATTGCAATAAGCTTTAAAGTAACATTGAAACCATACAATAATTTCCCCTATTCAGAGTCTCTGCACACAAAGTTTTCAGAAGTGTTACTGTAAGTATAATGAAGTAGCTAATGGATTCTCAAGGTAAAATCTTCTCCATGTTAATTTAACTAAGGATGCTCTTATTTCACGACAGACTACCATCAGATAAAAAGAAAATCTTAGAATAACTTTAAGTATGCATCAAGATCAGTTTTTTCATTCAGCTGTACTACAATACGCTTTATGCAATTTGGCATTGTATTTGAGTCTCCAAAAATTAGACACAAAATTAGTCGTCAGTGTGCAAATGTGTGCCTTGTCTTTTGCATTGTGTGTTTTATTAAATTAATAAGGGATTGTTAATTCAGTTCACATACAGGTTTTAAAGTGCATATTTCACCTAAATTTGTTGTTTGAAAACTACGGTTGGGCATCGAATCAATTGGAGCCTGGACTTTCGGAAAACGAGATGCATTGTGTTCAGTACTGCCTAGATCAGAAATGATGCAATGATGGGAATTTTGCTTTTATTGATTCATTTAGTTACCTCTGCGATGTTCTCTGTGGGCAAAGTTGAAAGAAAAGGAGATAAAATGCCACGACAGGTTCGTGAAGCCCTTAACGCCTTTATACATCTGTATACTGTAAAAGGTTTACAACAACTCTTAACAGATGCAGAGTCTAGAAGAAAGATACTAGCAACAGTTTTATGTGGGCTTAACATTTAGCAAGAGTGCTGCTCTTCAGCACCATTACAGTGTACCAGCTACTACTTCTAACTTCCTGTTTCTCATTGGAATAGTCCCTATTGTCGTCTCGGATACATATTATGCTCTGAATTTAGACTGAAGTTCAGTGTCTCGCATATGTATGTTCTGTCATCAATCGTTGACAACTTTTGACTGTGGTGTTGTAGATTTTGTTGTAGATTTTTACAAAAATAACACGTTAATAAAAAAAACAACATATTTTTTGCAGTGTGAAAGTTTCAGAAAACTACACTTAGAAACTACAGTTAGATGTCTCTTTTTTATTTTTTATGCTTTATCTTGTACTATTTCATCATAGAAATACTGGTTTTGTTTGGTAGTAAGCATTAACGGAGACAAGAATGCTTGCTCCACAGAGAAATGCATTTTATTCATTTTATCTGTTTTACTTATCAATGGAAAGAAAGCAGGTCAAGTGAAAAATCTTTTCCCATCTTGAAGGCTCTGACCACTGGTCAGTGAATTACTACCACTGTCATAAGTTCATACAGGCGAATGTGGAGTCAACAAAATAAAATACAGTATATGCTAAAAACTGAATCTTCTTGAACAGCAAGTTACCAATATGGAAACAAACATTACTATTTTCACGGTGAATCCTCTCTGGAGACATTAAAACAAAATAAGAGTAGTTAAGGTTTTTTTTTTTTTTTTTTTTTTTACTTTACTTTTCTATCACTCTGTTTTTTGTTTTTTGGCTGTCTTTCTTTCCCCTTATTGGAATTGGTGGGTATTTGAGCTTTATTTGCTGCTAGATTCTGCTCAGTTAAAATGCAGATTTTTACTAAAGTAACAATTTAATAAAAAAAAAACATTGTTTTTTTTTGTTTTTTTTTTTTTTGCTGCGTGAAAGTTTCAGAAAACTACACTTAGAAACTAGAGTTAGATGACTGATAAATGAGATTGAGTGGTATAAGTAGACTTCATGGCATGCTTGAAATATGATGAATAGCATGTGAACTATGAGGAGAAGCAGCAGCATGTCAATAAGCTGTGATTGATGGGACATCAGAAGACATTTTGTGGGAAACGAAAACAACACTGAAAGTGAAAAGTAAAGTGACAAGCAGTCAAGGGCAATACTGTTATAGTCTTAACAAGGGTCCAGTTTGTGGACAGCAAACACAAACGTAGACACACGTAAAACAATGTAAGTAAAAACTAGTTTCCACTCTAGTCTTTGACGAGGCCAAGCCAAATCCCTACAGCATGTTACATTCCACATGCAGTATTAAATAAGAGCCATGTGGAGCATATCTACTGATTAAAACAGAAAACGTCAACATTTGTTGTTTCACAAGCCTTCCTTTATGTATTTATTTTCCCAGTTCAGAGGCAACAAAAAGCAAAGCCAGTAAAGGAGAATAAGAAGAATATTTTTGCTGTTTAAACAAGTCAAAATATGTCTGTCTTAAAAATAAAAAAATCTTTCTTTGAATTCTTAAATTATCAATTATTTATAGTAGTTACCATGGCAGAATAGTTCACAATTTACATTTTCGTACTGTTCAGGTGCTACAGCGAGTCTTACCTTAGTTATTTATGTCAGTTTAGACTTTTTTTTTGTCATCTCTATTTTTGTTAGTTCGATAAGCAACAGTTTCGAAGTGAGGTGTTGAAAATTGCACATTTTCTATTTCTGTGGAGGTGTGGAGAGTAAAATTCGGTCCTTGCATAAAAACAAACAAACAAAAAAAAAAAAAACTTTTTTCTCTCACTTATAAAAATAGTCCTGGCTTTGAGTTAAACAACAAAATCTGTGCAGCACAAAAAAACCCATTGTCTTAATATCTAAAATAATATTATTTAAGCTTTGGGGTTGATGATTATTAGGAATTTTGTTATGTGCTTCAAAGTCTGATTTTATATGTAGTGTTAAAGTTCTTAAATAAATGATTTTATAGTGCTGTAAAACTAACTACCTTTCATCAGAAATATTTAATGCGATTGTCTCCCATCCAGCATTGACACTCTGTTTTTTTTTTGTTTTTTTTTTTTTGACAGTAAGGCATATTTCATCCCAAACAACCCTTTCTTTGTCCAAATATATTTCTGACTCTACATGTATAATCTTCAATAAACTTATGTCTTGCTCTGACTACTGATGTTTTTTTTTTTTTAAGAAGTAGTTTGCTGTAGTGCTTGGCTCCTGCTGGCATGTTTACTTCATGTTTCTTTTTGAGATTCTTTGATAATTTGCCTTGTTAAATATTTTAACATGGTTCTTTATACATGTAGACAAAACTCACAAATATAATGTTTGTGTTGCTTCATAAACTTGATAATTTTCTTTGGAAGCCATGCAATTTATGAACTAGTGTTTTTACTAGTTAGAAGCAGGCAAACAGT